GGGGGTAACTTTCTATTTTTATTGGTACTAGTTTTATTGTTTTTTTTGTTTTTTTTCTATTTCTTTTTGTTTGATTTCTTTCGTTCCTCTCTCTTTCTCTCTCTTGTGTTGTATGTTGTTAAGTCCGTATTTTGTTTTTGTCTTTTGTTTGTTTTAGTTCTTTTTTTTTTTTTTTTGTTGTTGTTGGTTTGCTTCTTCTGTCGACGGCTTAAGATGCCTCAGGGGGTTATTGTACCCACACGACTTGTTTTACTTCTTTCCGTCTATGTGCTTATTCCCGAGCATACGCCTGCTTTGGATCCCGTGTTTTTTTTTTGTTTGTTTTTGCGGCAACACCTGCGTTTGACGTCTCAGGAGACGTGCGAAATGTTTGTTGGGTCGAACGGGAGCCTCCTGGTGAACAACGCCCACCCCGCGTACCCGCACCTCGTGGACTTCCTCACGTCATGCTGCGAGCCCGTCTGCCGCACGCTGCACATGAGCGAGTATGTCATCTCCCCCTCGTCCCTTTCCGCGGCGAGCGCTGAGGGGACGTACTCGACGGCGATGATACGAAACGTCATTCGGTACTTTCGCCTGGACGAGCAACACCGACTGCCGGTGGACTTGGAGAAGTTTGCGTCGCTCATGCGGCGATTGGAGGAAGTGGCAGACGTGGCGTCGGAGGCGGCACAAGTGTTGCAGCAGCTGCAGGGAAAACAGGAGGCGGAGGATAATGAGGTTGGGCTGAAGCGGGTGAAGAAAGAGAATGGTGAGGCGGCCTCATTGGTGAAGCAGGAAAAGGCTGAGGAGGCGGCCGTACCAACGCGCCGTGTTCTCTCGCTTGTGCGGGGCGTCGTGATTCGGCCGGAGCCGCTTGTGTCTCGTGCATTGTGCTGCCCTGACGCTCTCCGTGCCTTGCCACCGGACCTTGAGCAGATGCTCTCGGAGGAGGAGCGATCGTCGCGGGTACGTATTGTTCTCCAGCCACAACTGCGTTCCTTCCAACGACATCAATCGCATCTGCAGCAGCAGGCGCACCATAAAGATGAGGAGAGGCTTGCATACTTTCTTGTGAGCCAGGACCGGAAGCACCTGGAGTTTCTGGTTAGCCACCTGCAGGAGTTTTTGGTGCCTGTATCCCTCCATGGTGTGATGCGGTGGGTGCTCTCTGACGTGGACCGGGGCGTGGAGGAGAAAAGTGTCGTGGAGAGCGGTAGGGCAAAGACGTTGCGCAGACTTTTTGACACCCCTCCGGCGTCCTGCGCGTCTACGTTGGGTAATGCTGGCGGCACAGGGAGGAAGTATTCCCGCCTAGTTTACAAGAGCCAAGTAAAAGATGGGAAACTGCGCAATGTGCGGGAGCGACTCTTTAAGGAACTTGGCGTCTGTGCGGATCTCTTCTATGACTATGGCCAGGATGGCACCCTCGCCGTGCGGGATTTGGCGCTTGTTGAGGATGTGCGTTTGCGTCCTTATCAGGTGGCGTCATTGGAGCGCTTTCGTTGCGGAAACAAGGCCCACCAGGGGGTCATTGTGCTGCCGTGTGGGGCGGGGAAGACGCTTACGGGTATTGGGTTTGCGGCAACCCTAAAGAAGCGGACAATTGTCATGTGCATAAATGTCATGTCTGTCCTACAGTGGCAGCGCGAGTTCCTTCGTTGGACGAACTTGTCGGAGGAGCAGGTGACGATGTGTATTTCGGATAAAAAGCAAATGCCAGGGGACGTGTTTATCACGACATACAGCATGCTTGTCGCACGGCGGCCTGGTGTGCCTGAGCGGGAGCAGCGGGAGGATGCGAAGATAACTGCCCGCATCCTTTCCAGCGTTGAGGAGCAGGCATGGGGACTACTACTGCTGGACGAGGTGCACACCGCCCTCGCCCACCACTTCCAGGAGGTGCTCAACAAAGTCAAGTACAAGTGCGTGGTTGGCCTCAGTGCTACACTCTTGCGTGAGGACGACAAGATTGGCAATTTGCGGCACCTCGTGGGGCCAAAGCTGTACGAGGCCAACTGGCTGGAGCTAACACGGGCTGGGTTTCTCGCCCGCGTGGAATGCGCTGAAGTACAGTGCCCGCTTCCTCTGCCTTTCTTCACAGAGTATCTAAAGAGTCAGGCGGAGGAAGACCCGTTTGCGTGCCGCGGGACAAATACACTTGCCCGTGCTGTGGTGTGCTTCAATCCGTACAAGCTGTGGTGTGCGCAGGCCCTGCTGGAGTTCCACCGCAACCGATCCCCCCCAGACAAGGTCATCATTTTCTGCGATGACTTGGAGGGGGTGCATTACTACGCGCAACATCTTAATATTCCCTTCATGGACGGGCATACCTCGGAGATCGAGCGTGCTAACCTCCTGCAGTACTTTCAGCACTCCAGCGACGTCAACGCAATCATTCTCTCTCGCGTTGGCGATGTCGCGTTAGATCTTCCATGCGCATCGGTTATTATTCAGCTATCCGGGCTGGGTGCCTCACGTCGTCAAGAGGCGCAGCGACTGGGTCGCATTTTGCGTCCTAAGCCACCCTCACTGGACAACACATGCTCCTACTTTTACACACTTGTGTCGCAGGACACACATGAGGTTCAGCAGAGCTATGGGCGACAGAGTTGGCTGCGGGATCAGGGCTTTGCGTATCGCGTGTTGCAATGTGATTCCGTACTGAAGGAATTATGGCGTACCGGGGGTAAACCCTGCTGCGTGGGACATCCACAATGGTGGTATGAGACACTAGACCGTTCGGCACTGTCCGCAGTGGGTGGCAAAGGTAGCCTTTGGATTCCATTTTCACGACAGGCCTCGCGCCGCATGCAGTATTTCTTTGTGCGTGGAAGAGAAGGCTGCGAACTGGACTCTCCCTTACTTGCTGACACCCCACGAACAGAAGAGTTAGCTGTTGGCGGTGTAGAAGAAAGGTGGATTGTGCGCTTCAGTGCTTCCAACGCTCCAGAGACGTTTGGCACCGTACAGATGGCCGAGGACAACCCAACCCTGGTGCGCCGTATCTGTTTTGGCCCGCTCGATAACGAACACGACTGCCTAAAGGAAGAAGGAGACTGCGTCGAGTATGTGCTAGAGCAGATGCGGTGTTTGGTCAAGAAACGGGCAAAGCCGCGATGAGAGGTGAGAGTGGGAGGGATGGTATCTCCCACCTCTGAGCCTGTTCTGCGCGGTTTTGTTGTCTTCTTTCTTTGCTCTTGCGCGTGGAAGGACGCGAAGAGTTTTTTTCCCTGCCATCTCTTCATCCGTCCCTCCACCGCCTGCATTAACCGATACCGGGGGTAGGCTGCTGCCGCCGCATTTTTATTCGCGTCCACCTCTCCCCACTCGCTGCTCACCACCAACAGTCACAGACATGTCTGACGCCATTTATTTATTTAATTATTTCTTTTCTGCGGTGTGCGCCGAGAGGTGCCACATCCCTTCTTCCTTTTTGTTGTTGCCGCCCACACATCACGCGTGTCTGCAGGAGATTCTACAGTTTGTCGTAGTAGCAGGAGGGGCCGTAGGAAATGGAGGCGAGAGAGCACAGTCAAGAACCTGAGCGTCTTCCAGAGGCCCGCCGCGCCGAGGACGGAGTGGGCGACGGTGGTGAAACTGCGGAAGCGGAGAAGCGTCAAAGTGAGCTTCTGCGCAGGAAGGTGGAGTTGCAGCATCGCATACAAAACCTGCGTGATGAGGAGAACGTGCTGCAACATGAGAAGACAGTTAGGTCCCTCGCAAAGGCAAAGGAAAAGAAACTAGCGACCGCTGCAGCGCAGAAGCAAAGTAACAAACAAATCCGTAGTAGAAAACCACCAAAGCGGCATCCTCCGGATCAGAAAAAAAGTTCACTGGGCGCTGAGAGTGCCAATGCTGGGATCACCAACACCGGCAACGACGGTGGTGACGCCACCGCGGGTGGCAGGCGCGTAAGTAAAAGCGACAGTGGCACTCTACGTGCAAGTTTGCGACCCATACCTTCCTTCCGCCAAGGTGGTTTCACTGGGGAAAGGCCGGGCCAAGGACAGAAGTCTTCTGTGCTTGCTGACATGGCGGCGGTGGAGGGGTCAGTGGAAAGCGGCAACTTTCCCAATGTGATTCCCGCCCCCCCGTACCCCCGCTGTTCCTCGGATGACGCAATAGAGGAGGAGAGGAGTGTGAAAGAGGAAAACCATGTGCTGGACGTGGACTTTTTGTGGATTATTCGCTCGGCGCGGCTGCATGAGTGTGGCGGGGAGGTGCAGGTGGAGGCTGCGCACCGTGCCCGGCGGGAGAGGATGCAGGCGACTGAGAATCGCCAGCAGCGATCTTTGCGGCGACTCAATCTTGTCGACGAGATGTTTTCGAAGGCACTAGAGCGTCGCATGCGGGCGATGCAGAGAATTGCTGCCGATCCACCCGCCGATCGCCTTATTGGCAACCATGTGGTGCAGCACATTCCTGTGTCAATGCTTCCGGGCCAGTTGAAGCAGACGGCGCTGACGCTCATGGCGGGGTCCACAGGGGAGGGCGTCCAGAGCCCCAGCAGTGCTCCTTCCCCCACCGGCGCCATCAAAGACGCGCCTGGGGGGAGAGTTTTCCTTACCGCCGTTGACATGGCGGCGGCGGAGAAGCAGATAACGGCGCCAACCGACGCCCCTGATGCGGAGGATGCATCTCAACAGGCGGAGGGGAAAACAACGACCTCTCCGAGGGTCAATGACATTGATGAGGACAAACTTCTTCGAGAATGGCGCGAGCTGGGCTACACTGCTGTGTACCTTCCGGCGACAAGGCGATTGGTTTATCCAGACGCAGATTGTCCTATAACGCGGAACACCAAGAGGCCGTACTCACCCAACGCTTGCATGCAGAAGTACATGCAGCCATTACCGTCGGTTCATTTGGTGCAGCGACAACTTCCACCTGAAGCCATTTTAGCACACAAGCGGGCGAAGTCCACTGGAAGACGCCGTCTGTTACCATTTATTTCTGTTGCGCGCAATAAGTAGCATCGCCGTATATGCAAACTCCGCTTTATTTATATTTATATATTCATGTCTATACCTGTAGTATGCCTTTGTTTGTTTGCTTTTTTTTTTTTCGTCCCTTATGATCTGGTGTTTTGATATTGATTTCTCCTCCTCCTGTTTACATCTCTTTTTGTTTCTCTCTCCATCTCCATATATATATATATATGTATGTATATATAACATGGGTGCATGTGTGTGCCTCCAACTACGTCTGTGTATGCTTGTAGCCACTTTTCTCTTGAATCTCAATAACTCTCTACGTTCTCACTGCATTATCGGTTTTTGTTTTTGTTTTGCATTATTTTTTTCTGGCTGTTTTTTTTTTTTTTTTGTCACGCACAGGCCCGCGTGGACTCGCCCTTGACTTGGCTGCACTCATGCGGGCTATGATTCCCCCGGAGCTGCGCGCCCTGGCGCGTGTGGTGAGCGACATCGATAGCAGGCAGTTTCCCGAGCTCTTCACGCCTGTTGGACTCAATCCGCCTGTGCAGGAGCTTGAAATGTTGCTGGCAGAGATCACCGGGGCACCCCTTTCCGCGAAGGAATTTCGACAGTTTCAAACAGTTATAATGGAGGAGAGACACCACCTGCGTGGGGTGGACCTCACAACGGTGGCGGAGTCTCAGGTGGGCACTGCCCTCTCTCTCACCTCACGTCTGGATACTACCTGCACAGAGGCGGAGGTTCCATTGGCACACGTCTTTCCTCACATGAAGGAGGCTCACAACTTCTTTGTAGGCATTACATCGTTCAAATGTTCGGTGAATCAGGCCCCCGTATTTTATCGTCTTTCCGATGCATTATGCACCCTGCTGCTCCGTGCACTGGAGGAGCTACAGCGTTACATGGATGAAATTTTGCTTTGGAACCAGGGACTTGGTGGGTTAAAGGGACGATCCAAAGGTAAACCATATGCGGAGGATGGAGAACAAGAAGATGCGATGCTATGGGTACGTGAGGGTGTGTGTCTCCCTGCTGAATTTGAGTGTGCCTTTGCCGATATTGACGGCGATGTCGGATTCCACTTGGCACACCTGCGCTGGTATGTGGAGGTGTGCCAGCAGTCGATCTACTTTGATTCAGGCGCGTATTTGGGCGACGTTTCCGTGCAGAAGATTTGGAACGCCTACGTGGGGAAGGAGAGGCCGGCATGTTTTGTGGAGAACTTTTCACCTGCGCTTCAGCTTTTCCCTGAGTGGTCTCGCGTGCCGATTATGGAGGCCGTTAACTACCGGGGGTGCGGGGTGGTTTCACTCTACACCCTTAAGCGCCTCCTTAGCATTTGGGGCCCCTTTCTTCTTTTGGATCGCAACATGAAGGATGACATACGGGTTGGGCTGTTTGAGCTTGAGCACTCGCTGGAGTACCAAGAAAAGGCGTTTGCGCGGCGCGAGGACGCGAAGGAGGGGGATTGCGTGGCCACGCTGACCAAAACCCCTGGCGAGGTGGTGGTGCTCGTCCTTCTTCGCCAGTCGAAGAGCTGTGTCGGCGACGAAAACGGTCTGACGACGTGGAAGATACGCTTCACTCAGCAAACCGGGGCGTGGGTGGCGGAGAGACTCACCATGGCGGAGTACGACACCGTCTACGACGCCTGCTGCGCGTTTCCGGAACTCTTTCGCCGGCCGTGTGGGAAATGCTACCAGCTCGTGGAAACTCCGGAGGCGGTACCCCTGCGGGCGGACTTTAACAGCGCGGTCGCACACGCCGTCTGCGGCCTGCACCGCGCCTGCTTTCGAAATAATAGTCGCTACGTGAAAACCCTCTTGGAGCGGGGCTTGGCGGTGGTGGTGAACACCACCGTGACGGATCCGGCAATCTCAACCCAGTTCTCTTGGACACCTCTGCTGTGCGCCGTGAACAACCCCAACAGTGACCCCGGGGAGGTTGTGCGGATGCTGCTGAGCGCCGGCGCGGACGTGAACATCTATGACGAGGCTCAATGCACCCCGCTCTACTACGCCATCGCCAACGGTTATGTGGATGCCGCACGCGCGTTGCTCGAGCACTCACCGCACCTTCGAACGTCCAATTTATCTGTACCGCTACTCGTGGCGCTCGGGGCGCACCACTTTCACGCGTGCGAGAGCGACATCCGCCGCCTCTGCGACCTCATCCCGTCGGCCGACATGCTACAGGTGCTTTTGTCGTATGAAAGAAGTCTGCCCCTGCTGCGGCTCTGTGTGGACATCATCACTGGCAAACTCAGCGGCGATGAGCGGCTGCAGCGGCCCACCGATGAAATCTCCATTTGGTCCCCCAACGGTGCGGTGGAGCTCCGGACGCCGGAGGAAGAGCAGTCTCTTATCGGCATCATTGCGTACCATAGCGAACTCTGCCAGCAATTCCGAGAGGACGTCTCAGCCGCCGCACGGCTTCTGTACAACCACTGCTACTTCCTTTCATGCAGGGAGGCGTTCAAACCCACCCTGGAGAGCCGTGAGGCTTCCTCTTGACGCGTGCGGCTGCGTTTCACGCAGGTAAACAGTAAAAAAGTGCAATGAGAAACAACATTCCTTTTCTTGCTCACTTGTTCGTGCGTGCAGGGGTGAAACAAGCAATGACGACCCGACCAATAGGCGAGCGGACATCGGGGACACATGTATACTTTGTTTTGTTTTTTAAAAACTGTTTTCTGCAAAGGAACAAAAGACTTGCGTGAGAGGAGATGGGCTCCAGCCGTGCGTATTGTGTGCATGCGTCTGTGTGTGTGTGTGTACTGGACGCACTGTTGTAGTCTGCTGCACCTCATTGCACTTCTGCGCACATCCTCTTGTCTGGGCTTTCTTTACGGCGTTACGTTTTGCGGTGTTTTTTTTTTTTTTTGCTTCCCTCCTGCACTTGGCCACCTGCCAAAAGGGTATGCCGCAGCACACGAAGCGCGCCATGGCGCAACGGAAAGCCAACAAGGAGCGTAGGGCGTGCCAATACGGACAGCGTCCCGCCGCATCGCGACGCGGCAGAACGTGGCAGGGGCCGCGCGCGCAGGAGGGGGGGCAGAAGCGCAGCCATGCGCCGTACGCCAGCATTTACGACGAGGCGGACCCGTTGGATCGTCAGCTGTTTGACTACATCATTGTGGTGGACGTCGAGGCGACCTGCGAGGAAAACAACGCCAACTATCCGCACGAAATCATTGAGCTTCCAGGTGTGCTGATTGACGTGCGTCGCGGCGTTGTAGACAAGCGGCGTTCGTTTCGCTCATACGTGCGGCCGTGGCGCAACCCCGTGCTTTCCGACTTCTGCAAAACGCTGACCGGCATTGCGCAGGCGGACGTCGATAACGCGCCGGACCTTCCGGAGGTGGTGAAGGCGTTTGAGCGGTGGTACCGTGCGACGATTCCGGTTGGGGCCAAAGTTGCGTTTGCTGCGGACGGCCCGTGGGACTTCAAGAACTTCATTTACGAGCACTCCATCCTGCGCGACCACGTGAGTTTCCCCAACATCTTCTATGAATACCTTGATATTCGCACGACGTTTGCCCACCACTTTAATCGTGGTTCACCGATCAAGTTAGACGCCATGCTGCGTCGGATGCAGCTGCAGTTTGAAGGTCGTCCTCACTGCGGCTTTGACGACGCGGTGAATATTGCGCGGCTCGCCGTGGCGATGATGCGGGCTGGCTGCGTCTTTGACTTCCTCATCAGTATCCCCCTGGAGGACGCGTACCACTACCCTCTAGGCGACTACCCGCTCTACCGCCGCGAAGAGGGCAGTGGCCGACTGGACCCCGACGTCGTAGATGACATCGCCAAACGGTGCTACGGTATGGAGTACTTCAGCTTTGGGGAGCGGCATAGGGAGGTGGTGCTTCAGTACCGCAAGAAGCATCCCCACCAATTTCGTGGCATGACCGTTAAAGAAATGGAGGAGAGGTTGCACCGTGGTAGACTGGCCATTCGCTGTCGCTTGGTGGTGCTCTGCACGCTCGTGATTGTTGCCGCCGCAATGCTGCTCATTCTGCTGTCCACACGGATCTCCCGATGGTGGGGGCGACTGCGGTAAGTAAACCCATTACATTGCAGGATGCAACTACGTTTAAAGAAAATAAAAGCAAAACGTGGGAAAGTACATGCATTTATATTTCCCCTTCTTTTTTTTTTTGCGTGGCGTGGGGTGCTGCTCTGTATGTGTCTTGGTGGGGCCATTGGCATCTGTACGGTTAACACTTACAACACGCACAAATATTATGGGAGGTTTTTCTTCCTTCCGTGGCTCCCACCACTCAGGCTGAGAAGGTGGTGAGAAGACACATCGCAGCAAATGACTTGAAAAGCAAAAAAAAACAACAACAACAAACAAACAAACAAACAAAAACGGGCAATGACTGGATTCGCTTCCTTCTGTGTCTGCTGGATTATCTTTTGTTTTCCGCAGTGGATGTGGCTGCTGCGCTTTGATGATGCCTTTGCGTCTCTCTTTTTTTTTATATTCTCTTTCTCTCTCTCTCTCTCCCTCTCTCTCACACACACACACACACCGCCGTCCTTGGTAGGAGTAGGAGGCAAGCAGGAAGGGGCGGCGAGAAGGGGGCAGGGGCGCCGGCTGCCAGCATTGATACAAACCGAAAAAAAAAGGCATACAAAGCATTTGTGCACTGCACACTCCCACACTCCCACCCACACACGCGGTTGCTAGTCAAACTACACACACGTGGTAGGAGAGGGGGCGAGGGAGAGAACGAGTTCAGTGAGAGAAGAAGTGAGTGAGTTGCAGAGTCTCAAAGAGAAGGCCCCACTCACAAAAAGAAACAAAGAAACAAAAGAAACGCGCGAAGGAACAAGGCAGGAAATCAAAAATAAAAAAAAAGGTTAGGAGGACCCGTCCACGTTTTACACAGACGCGCCCCGCGGTGTGTACAACTTATTCATTTTTTGTTTCCGTTTGCCGTTCCGCATACTGCTGTCGGTGTTGCTGCCGTGCGTGGTGGTGGCCTTTTTGTTGCTCGGGGAGTCGCTTGCCGTCGGCTTCAGTTCTTTTGCTTCCGGTCACTGGCAACGCGTGGGCGCAGCGGCGTGGCCTACCGACTCCTCACCGACGTTCTTGTGTGCACACGTGTGTGGTCTCCACACACGCACGTGCTCGTAGGGACGAACGGCGGAAGCAGCGGCGTCGCGCCAAACAAAATCAAAAGGGGAGTGCGTATCGGGCCGGCGAGGGGGCAAAACGAAAGTGAATCAAAGCAGATTTGCTGAAAAAGTAGGTAAAAGAGAATCAGGCAACGAAAACAGGGGACGGTGAAAAGACGGAAAAACAACAAGAATAATAGGAAGAGGCAGGGAGGAAATCATTAAGAGGCAGCAACGATCGACAAGTGAGAAAGTAGTAGTGGAAGAGAGAGGCAAACGGTAAGAGCAGGGGAGAAGCAGGTTGCGTGATGAGCGCAGATAACATGCAATTCCACACGCATTCTCCGCGGGTTGAGCCACTGGAAGCGCTCACGAACAGCAGCGCGAAGCAGACGGGACTGCTCGAGGGCGACCATTCCGACGGCGTGTCGAACACCCAACAGTCGCCATCGGGACATGCAGGGGCTGAAGGCCGGTGGTGGACGCCTTCAAAGAAGGCGGAGCGACGCGTATCTGCTTCTGTCATGCCTCGTACTGGCCTCTGTCACGGCATTAAGGATGTTGCGAGTTTCAAGTTAGAAAAGTGCCGCGTGGCAAGGTCCCTGGCCATCCAGTGGCTCTCTTTGCTGATGCACAGCCCACCAGACGCCTCCGCACTTGAGGCTTACCGAAGGCTGAAGCTGCAGCAAGGGCAGCATCAAGGTAGCAAGGGGGCAGGGTTAGTCAAGAATGGAGGAGTTGCACACAGGGGGGCTTTATTTGTGGAAGTCGCGAGAAGAGGTGTCGGCTCTTCCTCTTTTTCTTCTACTGCCGCTGCCACTGTTGGCGTTAATGCCGTTTCAGATGCTGGTACCCAACATGAAGGTAAGATCGGTTCGAGTAAACTTCAGCCTTGTGCAGAGACGTTTGAGCTTGTACCCGTGGATGAGCAGTCTGTTTCAGAGCTTATCCGACTGCTTCGCGAGATTGCTTTGGTGGGTGCCTCACTGGGATCCCTTTTGCCTCACAAAGAGGGAGCTGGGATGAATGGTGTGAGTTCTTCACCCCCCATCGTGGGAGGCAGTGAGACGGGCGCTGCGGATGACAGGGTGACAGGCTACAGAGCCAGTGCCAGTGACAATGGCAGTGTCACTGGCAGCAGCAGCAGTTGTAACTGTGACTCGCTCTGCACTGTGACTGATAATCATTGGGAGGATATTAAGTCCTGCCTTAATGCTTTGCAACAATTGGTGCAGAATCGCGAGGAATTGACGTTGGTGTTGGACACCCTGCTGGGCAGTGACTGGTGCCCAGACGACGATTCGTCACCAAACGAGTTGGAAGGTTCATGTCCTGCTGAGGTGCTGTTGCCACCGTCGCAGGCGACGAGCTCGGCGGGCATTGCGTTACAGCGGGCATCGTTCCTCGCTGACGGGGCGACGGCGCACGGACCGAAGCACCAAGAGGAAGTTGAGGAGGCACAGCAACAACAGCGGCTGGTTTCGGATAATGTGAAGACGAACACACTCAATCACAAGGCCGTTCCTTTTGAGTCGCGGCTGCATTCTGTTTTGGCAAGTCCTCCATTGAGTGCGGCCCCGTATTATTTTTCACGGGGATCCACATCAACGCAGGCGGTTGACCCGCACACGGCCTCTCCCGCCTCTTGCGCCTCTTACACAACCACGCCATTGCTTCAGTGCAGTGGTAGTCCAGTGGAACCAGCGGGCTCGGGTATGACGCCTGTCACTACGGCAGTAGTAGGCAGCATGACACCTTCGACGGCACCCTCCTCATTTTCGCCCGGCACAACATTCAAGCTGGAATCCCGTGAAGACATGCTTCGTCGCCGTACGGCTGCAGCCGCGGCTGCGGCCCACTATGCGCATAACAACTCTGGAAACTACTATGGCAACCGATCACGTGGTCCTTGGAGCGGTTCTGGTTCCCCGCTTTTGCCTTTTATGAACCCTGTTGTGAATCCGTCGCATTGCCCGTATGATTACCTGCTTGTGTTGGATTTTGAGGCCACCTGCGAGGAGAGTATCCCACCATCATACCTGCACGAAATTATTGAGTTTCCTGTGGTTCTTGTTGATGTAAAACTGCAGCGAGCTGTGGCCGAGTTTCGCCAGTTTGTGAGACCCAAGGTGAAGCCCCAACTGAGTGAATTCTGTCGTCGTCTGACGGGTATCCGTCAGGAAGACATCGACAATGCCTTGCCACTAGAGGAGGTCATTCGCCGGTTTGAGCGATGGCATGCAAATACCATTCCCCCTGGCTCTCGCACTATGCTGGCCACAGATGGTCCCGCTGACCTAAAGGAGTTTATGTACGTTCATAGCGTCTCACGGCAAGGGATCCGCTTCCCCAGCATGTTTTACCAGTGGATCGATGTGAAGCGTTTCTTTGCACACTTCTTTCAGTGCCAACAGGGCAAAATACGAGCGATGCTCGATGCGTTGAACTGCCCCTTTGAGGGGCGGCTGCACAGTGGTATTGACGACGCAAGGAATGTTGCGAACATTGTCATACGCATGCTGAAACTGGGATGCTCCTTCTGTGAAATTCCACTCAGCCGCTTGCCGTACGGGATGACGGTTACCACCGCAAGCCTCGTGGCGCCTGAAACAGCAACGGCCACAACGGCGACAGCGACGACGATAGGGCCGATATCATCGGCTAAAGATACCGTGAATGCCTCCTCAGCCTAGTCCAAGCTGTGGCAGGCAGGCAGGCAATGGAAAATCCAGACGTGAGGTGAGGGGACGCCAGGATGGTGAGCTGGTCTATCTACCTACCTATCTATAGATATGTACACGAAGGTGCTTTGTGGGTTGTGCTTCCCCACAGCATGTGCTTTTTTGTTGTAGTGCGTGGCAGAGGCGGTTTTTTAGTGAGTGTGATGGGTCGAAGGGGCACTGATGTACTTTAAAAAAAAAAAAATTCCAATGGGCGTTGCTATTTGCGCTTTTCCGCACTTGTGTTTTGTTTAGTTATTTCTTGTTGTTGTTTTTTTTTTTGTTTACGTTCTTTATGCCTTGGTTGCGCAGTGGAAGGACAGGGACAGGAAAGATGAGGAGGAGGGGCGTGGGGTGATAGAGCGTGGATGCGTGCGAAACGAGGGGTGGGGGAGGTGAAGAGGCGATAGACTTTGGGCTGCAGCGATTGGCGTTCTGTCCGACTTTCCTACGCTGTACTCTCTTTGTCGTTGACAATGTTTTTTTTTTGTTTTTTGTTGTTGTTGTTGTTGTTTTAGCTTTGTCGTAGGTACGATGCCTTGAGCGCAGAAGTAGCGGCTTTTTTTTTTTTTGGTGGGGGTGGGCGGGACCACCTTTTGTGCTCACTGATGCAGCTACGGCAACGTAATCACTCCTCTGCTGCCCTTTTTTTTTTATTGTACAAAAAAGAAAAAAAAAAGGTGTTTTTGTTTTCGTGTGTATCTGTGCGTGCGGTATGTGTGTGTGTGTGTTTTTTTTTTTTTTTCTTCTTCTCCCTACGATTTTTGCTAGGACTATGGTTGTTGTACCGGCCAATGCTTTGTGCGGTTTCTCTCCTATGAATGTGTGTGTTTTTGCCGTTTCCTTTCTGCCTCTTCTTATATACACGCTTGTGTCTGTCTTCATCTGTTGTCGATGTGTTTTGTTATATATATATATATATATATATATCAGTATCTATTTTTGTCTACAGCCACGGATGGGTGTGGGCGCGGGCATAGATACATGAGAGGGTCTTCTAAGCCCATCTCTCTCTCCCTCCCTCTCTTTTGGTGTGGGAGGCACCGTAGCTAGGCCTTGCTGCGTGATTGCCTTTGCCTGCTCCTTTTATTCTCCTTTGCATGTCGTCTGTCGTTGCCACCCCCCCGAGCGTGGTCAAAAAAAAGAAAAAACAACAACACCTGTGACAATTTGTCGTCACTGAACAACTTCGGACGTTATCAAAATGCGCCAACACCTTCTAATTTGTAGTCCGGGATTTAACGACTAGGTGCGCGGGCGGCAAGCGGCGAGGGCTCGTTGTTGTCGGAGCGGAATTAGGCGAGAGCAAAGCGCACAGCCAGACACACACACACACACAAGGTGAGAGAAATAAAAGGGCGATGAGAGGCGCGCGTACACGGGACCAGCCGGCGGAGGTACCTTTGATACGGGGGGAGCTGCAGCCATCCCTGACGAGTGCGAGGGGCGAGGCGGATGATAGCACCACGGACGATAGCGGTACCAGTGCCGCGGAAGGCAGGGACTTTCTGCGCGGTGTAGGCACGAGGTTTGACATTCTCCTGCAGGGCACCAGCAACCTTGGTGAGGCGGAGCACAAAAAAATAATACGAGCGGCGGAGAGGAAGACGGCGGACCATTCAACCGGCGTGAGTGGCGCCGCCAATCGTCGGCACGGCTCGTCGTCGCAGGGCAAACGGCGACTTGTGCCACAACCCTTTTCTCACCTCTTGGTGTGCGACTTTGAGGCAACCTGCGACAGTGCGAGCGCGAGCTACCCGCACGAGATTATTGAATTTCCCGTGGTTTGCGTAGACACTGTGGATTTGTGCGTGGTGGCGGAGTTTCACTCGTACGTGCGACCCATGCGAAACCCACGTTTGACGCAATTTTGCACTGCGCTGACAGGCATCACACAGGCGCAGGTGGACGCGGCCCCAACACTGCCAGAGGTTTTGGGTCGCTTTGAACGCTGGTTGCGGGAGGTGGTCTACCCACTCTGCCGTCGGTGGATGACGGCGCGGCCGGAGGGGCTGAGCAACTCTCTGCAATCGCAAAAGCGCCACTTTACATATGACGAGAGACGTAACCCGGAGTGGACTGACTGCGAGCGGATGATCTGCATGGTGACGGACGGTCCATGGGATATGCGGAAATTTATGTACGAATGCAGCGTGATGCGGGACGGCCACGAATTTCCTCCACTTTTCTACCGCTGGGTGAATGTGCGTCACAGTTTTGCAGACCTCTTCCGCATGCGCCCACGCAAGCTGACGGACATGTTACGGAAGTTGGGCTTGCCGTTTCTTGGCCAGCCGCACAGCGGCATTGATGACTCCCGCAATATCGCTCGGATTCTCATTGAGCTTCTGAGACGTGGCTACAGGGTGAATCGTATTAGCACCATCAAATACATCAACACTGCTGACGCCGCAGCAGTGACGCAGCTGCTGGAAGAATTGGGCGAGGACGGCTCGAGACCAATTTATACGAAGGCTGAAGGGAAGAAGTGCCGCACATGCGGCAGTAACGCCACCTCCGCTGGAGGGCGCCGTAACAAACGGCGTCAGGCGTGCTGACGCATGTGCGGACAGTATGTTCTTGAGCCCCTGACACCTACAGAGAGTACTTTGCTGCTTTCTCTCCCCTCTGCCTGTCTGACTGTTTTACGTTTTGTTGTTATTCTTCACTAATTTATGGACCTCCTTCACTTTCTTTGTCTTTTGTTTCTCCTTGTGTGATCTTCTTTTCCTTTATTTTCTTCCTGACTTGTGTCTCCTCCGTATTCACGGTAGGGGCGTTTTGGGCGTCGACCCCTACACCGCCTGAAGAAAAAGAATTTGTTGCAGTATCCAGTAGAGGTGCACACTAGAGAAATAAGGAGAGGTAGAAGAGAGCGGCGGGGATACAGCAGAGCTGGGCGCCGCAGTTGTCTGGAGCTGTCACTATCAGGTCTTGACGGGGTTGCGTGGCTACTAGACGCGTGGTGCACGCTGAGAGGGAAGCGCGTAGAGAGCTGGCCCGTGCCGGCACGACAGTGGCATATTTGTGTAGAGTCATAGAGACGGTGAGGGGCGAAGGGAATGGAGAGTCGTGCGAGAGAGTTGTTTCGTATTGACGTCTCTCGGGGGAGTGCGGCGGACACCCCACTCACCGCATTCGCCGTATCGAAGTCCCCATATATTGTGCCTTCTCCCTCTCCGGGTTCCAGCTCGCTGGCGCATGGCCTCGAGGCCCAAGAGAGTTTTGAGGAGAACACGTCTCAGCAGGGTCCGCGTAGCGCCGCACTTCTGCGTGAGACCGGGCAGGAACAAACGTCCCAGCGGCGGCAGGAGCAGCAGGGTCAGCCATTTGTGCGAGGCACGCTCACGTCTCCAGTGCTCAGTTTGCGTGGTGACTCACCGTCGTTCGTTAGCTCCCGACCGCACTCCCCGCCTCGCATACGTCCCACCAGCGAACTTCTGCCAGCAAGGGATGCGAAGGACGCGCCACGGAGTGCGCCTACTCTTGTACAGGCTGAGGATGATATGCTCCACGGGGCTCATGCTTGCTCAGCCCAACCAACGGCTCAGCCACGGAATCGAATGCCGTCGTCGTGGCTTGGTGACCCCACTCAGGAAGGAGACTCGATATCTAAAGTTCTCGGGTCGGTGCCCTCTGTTGCAGCGGTGGCGTCTGAAGAGAAGGCAGCACGGAGCACCACTTGTCGCGTGTGTCCCTTGTGCGGCGTCTCCGTGGTGCTGGTGGGGACGTTTGTTGAGCACCAGGTTCAATGGAACGAGCATGTGGCGTCCTGGATGCATCAAAGGAACCTTCAGTTGCGCACTGCGACTCAGCGCACGGGTTACAACCCTATTGAGAGCACGGCTTTGGCGTTGACTCCGCCGTTTTTGTCGGGAATGCCGAACACAACAGAGGACATTTCGGCATCGCCGGTGTTGCTGCAGCCAGATGACACCTCCCCCGAGGGCATCTCACTGCTCCGTGCGATGGCGTTTCCGACTAGAGCAAAGGGATTGGAAGCTCAGGCGTCTGCCCCCTCGTCTCAGGAAACGAGGCAGGATACCGCTTTGCTTACCTCCTCTCCCTTCCATGTGTTTAAAAATCTCTTCCCGGGGGCGAACCCCCCGAGTACCTCGGAAAACAACAGCAGTGGTGAGGATCACATGGGAATCGACCACACCAAAGACTGTCTCGCCCCCCTTTGGAAGGCTGGCGATCAACAGCAGAAGACGATACCGCGGGACGAAGCTCGCGGTGCGCCACCACCACCACCGGCAGGGCGTCAAAGTGACGGTGCCTCGAACAAAGGCAAAGACCCCTCGCGAGCGATGGAAGCAGAAGAAACTGACCATGCCGCTTCCTCGAAAGTTTCTGAAAGTGTGTCGCTGCGGGAGGAGCTTGCAAGAAGGAAGGATCACCAGTTAGAACGCACACTCACGAAGTTTCTGATAAAGAAGGAAGATCAACGGCTGCTTCTGTGCTTCCGTCGCTGGTTCAATCTCATGTTTGTGCGGATGGTAAACGGTTCATCCTTCCTTAATAGATCCCTCCCAATACACGGGCCCGTGGCGGCGGCGGGAGCAGCAGCAGCAGCAACAACAACAATGCCAGTTGTCACAGATTCGGTGAAGCCTAGAGGCGAGGAGGGGGATCCATTGCTTGGTTGCGATGTAACTGAGAGGCGGCGGGAAAACACTTTTGAGTCTGCCACCCCATCACGCACGGGGCGCAAACATAAAAAGGACAATAGAAATCGGAGCAAAAGGGCGACTGGTGATGGAGGACGCGGAGGCGCTTTCATGGCGTCACGAGTTAAGGGTTTTGCCCATGTCATGAACAACTCCTCCTCAAGCAGTGTGGAGGTGGAGGTGTCGAAGACGGATGTGAGTTGGCACATTCAGCACTCGGCGCGACCGCCACACGACGGCGGGGAGAGCGACAGTGAGGCAACCTCGCGGAGGTGCTCCTTGGAGAGTGATGCAAGCATTCAGGTGTTGCTATCCTCCCTGACACCGCGTTTACAGGAACGCGTGCGAACCGTGCTCCGGGGTGAGCCCAGGCGATCACGTGCGTTTCCCAAGACTACAAATGTTTTGAGCGCCATGCGGTGTTCCTTACTGGACCAGGCACTATCTCTCTCTGCATCGCCTCTCTTGATCAACGACGGAAACCACCGACGCTCCTTATCCTTGCCGACGACGCATATCACGCAGGGCGGTTTGGATGACGTGATGCATGGGATAAGCGATTCAAGGCGAGGAGCTTTATCGTCATCTTTGACTTGTGCGTCGCCACACCAAGGAAGCGGCACAGCAAGAGAAATCAAGCCAGAATCAGACGTTCTCCATAATGTGTGCGCTGTTGCAGGAGTGGATATGGTGGACACGCAGGACATTCCCGTGACCATAAGTGTGACAGCTAGAAATGTTTCACCACCACCTACGGACCCGACCGCGATGCCTTGCTTGCGGCAGGGGGAGCCGTTGGGCGGCTCATCTGGGTGCAGCACCTCTGCTGGGGCGCGAGGGTCTCCGCTGCAGCTGCACAGTCGGGGCTCGTTGGAGGGGCATCCAAAATTATTTTCCAAGGTGGAACCGTTATCTTCGTCCCCGTCGCAGCGTCGTGGCCTTCTCTTTGAAGGCGTGGAAGAAAGACTAGATTCGGCTCTGCGTGAGAGTTATGCTAATCAACCTCCCCTCTTGCACCAACAATGTGACGGGCAGAGACACAGCAGCTCTTTGCGGCCCCAGACAAGGCGTGGAGAGGTGTTTTTGGGGCGGGGCGGAGCGCGGGAGACGTTTAAAGGTATTCCTGGGGAGTGCTACTGCTACCGCGACGGCGCGTATCACCGCGTGTTGGACCCGACCGCCGAGTCATGTTACGATGCACGGGGCAATCAACTGCCGATTTTTGTTGTGCGTCGCCCTACATCGGCGGTTACGTCCCCGACACGTCGCTCGCCCGCGAGAACGCGTCCACAGAGTCCCCTTGGACCGGCTCGCCTGAATCCGTACTGTTCCGTCTGTGTAAAGCGCTATTGTATTGTTCTAGTGGATGAGTTTATGCGGCCGGTGGCCGCCTCGCCAAGCCGCCAAGGGAGAGGGACGTTATGCAACGGCAGGGAGGTGCACGGCTTTGCTTGCCCCAGCAGAAACGCGCGATCTCCAACCTCTCGAGGAGTGCAAAATCCGCTGCTATCGAGGCCTGCCCAATTGTCGCCGCGGCGCACTTTTTCACGGGGACGGCAGGACCGCCCTGCCTCATCACTATTGCCACGTCGTTGCTCACCAGCGACAAAAACGGACTTTGCTGCGGCGACAGTTGGCGAGCATGCATCTGCGAGACCGAACTCTGTGAGTGCTGCGCCGCCCGGTGAGTCCGACTCATGTGAGGTCCACCACCAGGACCCCACGCCGGAGGAAGAGAAGTGGGTGCAGCGACAGGAGCGGCATTTGCGCCGGCGGGTGAAATCGCTTCTCTGGCGAGAACTGCCGCAGTGTCGCGGCAGCCAACAGTGGGCGGAATACCTCACATCCCTGAAGGAGGCGATGCAAACGTTAGAGGCGTTGCGTTCGGGGTCAGGTGCCCAATAGATGAACATAATGTTTTTTTTTTGTGTTGGGAGTTTCTCTCCCTCTCTTTTTCTATTTTCCCTGTGGTTTGTGTGTGTGCGTGTGAATTGCCACTGGTGGTTCTGTATTTTTTTTTTTTTTTGTATGTGTGCTTTTATTCACCCGTAGTTGGTTTGGAATGTTTTTTATTTCATCCTGTGCAGCCTGACCGCTCTTTACGCTGATTGTCTGACTGTCTCTGCGTGGAAGAATAGGGGACGATGATGCACGCATATGTGTATGCACCTACTGTAGTGCGCATCTCGCCCCGCAGTTGTGAAGGATGCACGAGACCGTGTGGGTCACTTCTGCTGCCGCCGTACGGTTGGGCGTCGTCATGCACTTCCCACTTTTTTGTTTTCGTTTTTAATCCAATCGGCCAACAAGCAAAGAAAGGAAAGAAGGAAAACAAAATCGATGCAAGGCGAAGGGTCTCGTGCGGCTTGTGCGTCTTTGTCTTTCAGGACACAGCCGCCACCTCTCTTGCATTTGGGGCGTGCAATCACACCGCAGAGTCTCCGTCGCGCGCGAATGTACGTGGATCTGCTTGCTAATCCGCCACCTTCACCGCACCCTTTCGGGGCCTTCCTTGAAGAAGCGGCGTGTTTGCGGACCCGGGCAGCCGCGGTGGCATCACCTAATACTGCGCGAGGCGCAAACGACAGTGAGGGCGCGTCATCAGGGTTAGTAGTTGCTGGGGATGAAAATGCAGAGCCACCTTCGTTGCGGGAGTTGCTGCGAAAGGAGCACGGCTACTCTGCGGGGACGGCGATGCACCGCATTTGGGTGGAGTGCCCGCAGGAGTATCTGGCAGGGATGGCGCGGCGGATTGCGGATGTTGTCTCGACGTGTGTAATGCCTCTGCTCGCCAGCGAAAAGAACGGAGGAGGTGTGTCTCCCTCTCAACCTGAGACGATCAAGGCGAGTGGGACCACGCCCGTTGCTGGGGCGGAGCGAGACCGTTATGACATCCATGTCCGCTTTCTCCCCTCGTCCGCTCCCCGACTCCAGTTTCATGCACCCATCTCGAAGGTCTTCTGTGCGGAGGTGATTGTGCGAGACGTGGAGGCGCTGCAGCGACTTGAAGAGGATGCAGACCTCCTGCGGGTGCAGTACACTTCGGTGGCGGCGGAGGGGCAGACGGTTCAGAGCGCGTTGGCATTTTGGCGGGGCGTCAAGGTGGATGCGGTGGTTGAGGACAGCGAGGGGCTGTCAGCTGATGGTATCTCGTCGGCCATCGTGCTAGGCCGAACCAGCGACCCGGGTAATACGAGGCGTGTCCGCAAGACTTCGGCGGGGGAGGAGCGCGCTGCGTGGATGCAGCCGCCTGCAAAGCGTTCGCGACAGGCGACGACTAGTGCCGCTGCGGCTGCTACTGCCAGTTCCTCCAACACGAGGAGGCGAACGGCACCCCAAACGACGGAGTCGGAGGCACCGCAAGTTTTGCTGCAGAGCTCGGCGGGGCTTGTGGCGGTGTTTTATCTTGCATTCAGCGGCGCTCTGTACACCGGCGTGGTGTGCGGCGCGGCAGATCCACCCACGTCCCCAGCGCCACCCCGCGTGGAGGCTAGCTCTGATGACACCCTGGCAGAGAAGCGGGTGGAGGCGACTGCAACGCCGCAGGATGCTGAGCCCGTTCTCTTCCTTCCCTGCGCCTCCAGCACCAGTTTTGTGTGCGGCCTACTCGGGCTGTAGAAGGCACCGCGCCTGCTGTGGTCACTGGTGGTTACTATTTTTCTTTTTTGTTTTGAACACTTCTTGGTGCGTGTGTGCAGGGCTGGTTTGATTGCCGCCGTGGGCGCCCATCACATCACGCTGTTCTTTCCACCTTTCCGACATTCACCCACCCACGAAGAAGCAGCAGATTTCACGAATCCCAGCGGCAAAGCAAAAGGGCAAACAACAGTAGCAACAGCGCTATTACTAGCACCAAGTTTCTCACAACCAAGCAGCTCATCAATCAGTTAAGCAATCATGGCCATGTCGGGTGTTTCTGTCTCCGATGAGTGCGTCAAGGCGCTCACGGAACTCCGGCGCAAGAAGTCCCGCTACGTCATCCTTCACATTGTTGACCAGAAGACCATAGACGTCAAGGCCGTGGGTGAACGGAACGCTGACTTCCAGAAGTTCGTTGACGCTATTGACAAGTCCGCCCCCTGCTACGCTGCGTGCGACGTCGAGTACGAAACAAACGAGGGCAAACGCGACAAGCTCGTTCTTATCAGCTGGAACCCCGACTCGGGCGCCCCGCGCACGAAGATGCTGTACAGCAGCAGCCGCGACGCGCTGCAGGCGTCGACGGAGGGGTTTCAGCCCATTCAGGCGAACGACGTCTCGGAGCTCGACTTTGAGGATATTGTGCGCAAGATAAAGTCACACCGCAACTGCTAGGCTTTGACCGCACTGACCAATAATGAAGTGGGAGGCGTGTGCGTGGACGGTGAGCGTGGGGGTGGGTGGGAGAAAATACGGGGGCCACGTAACCACCGACACGCACGAACAATATGGACGATGCCAGAAAAACAAAGAAAAAAAAACGGGGAATGCATGAAGAATAGCTTGAAAAAAAAAAAAAAGAGAGAGAGAGAACAAAAACAAAAAAAACGACAAGGTAAGGCGGAGAAAAGGAAGGGGAAAATGGAAGCAGAGGGAATATGGTGGTAGGGCGATGACGCCGAAGCGCTCAAGCGAGGGAAGGCGAGGAGAGCAACGGCAACGGAGGAGGGTACAGAATTAATATATATATATATATATGAGTCGAAGCCTTCCTTGATGAGGCAGGCATCGGTTGAGGCATTATCGTCAGGATTACAGACAGACGCACAGCGGGGGAGATTGCGGGCATGTTTTTGCATTGCAGTGGCTGTGGTGCTGCGTGTGGGTGTGGGTGTGGGCCGCACTTTTATCTGTAGCTTCCAGAAAAGAATTGGGGCTGAAGCGGAGGAAGCAAACGCGTGGGGCGGTGAAGGACGTAGAGAGCACTTGGACCAGTGCGGGGAGCATACTTTTTCTTTTTCCCTCCACACAACCCACACGCATGCCGAAGGGAGGGAGTGAGACGGCTTATTTGGCCCCCGCAATCGAAAAACAGCGACGGCGGCGGCCGCGTTGTGGGGCTCCGCGGGTTTGTGTTTGCTGCATTTTTTCTTAAAGAAAATAATAAAAATAACAACAAAAAATTGTTGTTGTTGTTGTTTTTTTTTGTTCGTCTTCACGGAAGATGAGACAGGTGGACTTTGTGTTGCTTATCTCCGGGCCTTCGTTCTTCAGGACGGGCGGCCATGCGCTCACCTCCCACAGTTTTTCCTTGCCTCCCTGCACAACGTGTTTGTTTGCTTGTGTGTGTGTGTGTGTTTCCCATTCCCTCCTCTTCCTCTCTGCCTTGTGCCGCAGGAGGTCCCGGATGCCTGACGACCCCTGTGTGGTGCGGGAGGCCGACGATGATGATGAGGGAGAGGAAGGATCCCTGTACAGCATTCTGCGATGACTCTTTCACTTCTGTATTTGCGTTTGTACACACACACATATACACGCCCGTGCGGTAGCCTTTAGAAGGAGCCACGGGTAAGAAAGGAATATAATTGCGTGGGGAAGGTTTTAAGAGGGG